GTAAAGCTAACACCATCTTTGACTCTTTACAACTGAGTGTTTCCCTCCATCTAGCAATAGCAGAGTTGCCAGCTTTGTTTACCTGGTCACTTTTTACTTGTTCCTGCATTTACTGTTACACATTGTGCTGCAGTGTAAGACCTTGAGACATGTAAGAATGTGAGGAATGTCTGCGTTGTGACTTGAAACATCTGACTCTCATCATGTCAGGTCAAATACAGGGCAACTGAATGTGAGCTTGCATCATGGGATTACCTTTAAACACACTTTCATGTGAACGACTGTCAGAAGTTTTAAGGAATAATGTAAAGCGAGAATGGCTTCAAAAATAATACTGTGATTTTTTAACTATAGCTGTTATAGTGTACAGAGAAAAACAAGTGATCTGCTATGAGGAGGCTTTATGAGGATGCTTTGCTTGAGCTGTAGCTGTTCCAAGTACAGTTGTTGTCAGTACATTTGTTTACATGTCAAAAATTTAATCCACAAATTTTCAGTAGGCTTGATGTCGTGGCTTTGGCAGTTCCAAAAGCTTAATGGAGCCATTTCTACATAACTGCAGGCCACCAGTGCAAACAATTGTACATAAATACTAGGGTGCAACGATATTCGTATCGATATTGAACCGTTCGATACAGTGCTTTCGGTTCGGTACGCATATGTATCGAACAATACAACATTTGTAATTTATTTTATCAATTTTCCTTCTGACGATGCTGTCTGTGTTGAGCGCTCAGTGAATCTGCGTTCGACTACTCCGCCTAGGCTGCACTGTCGAGCGCAGATCCACTGAGCGCTCAACACAGACAGCATAGTCAGAAGGAAGAGCGCAGGGCAAGCTAGCAGACAGAAGTTAAGCTCTCCTTGCAACATTAGACCTCATTCAGATCTGGCGTTTGGAATTATTTTGGTTTTCATGTGACGTATGACCCTGAAGGTAAGCGAGTCATGGACTAAAGTAAAACAGTATGTTGGATGTGCCATGCAATGCTCAATTACATTGGTGTGAACTAGTGTGTTAGCGCAGTTAGCTCGTTAACGTGTTGGCCGTCTAGCCCCATGCACGGAGCGATCGGCGGTAGCTCGTTAACGGAGATTTGCCGTGTTGTGGCGTTAAGGTCATTTCAACGAGATTAACCTGAAAGCACTAGTGGGAACACAACGAATATGACTGCACATTTACGCCGACATCATCCTAGTGCAAAGACAAGTGGAAGCAGACAAAAAAAAGCAAGCATGCTACTAACTTTAGCCGAGTCATTTAGACAGCTGTTAGCACATGATTCTCCTTATGCTGCTGAGAATATAGCCCAGAAGAAGCGGATAGTATAGCTTTTATTTTGGAAAGAGACATTTCTCTGTAATAAACTCTCTTTTCCAAAGATGAGTGATTCCTCAATCAGATACAGGGCTTGCAATATCGCTAGCCCGACGTCCCGGAGCTAGCGATTTTTTCAGTCGGGCTACCAAAATCTATCTCTGCCCTGCCCGTCGGGCTATTGTGAAGGAAAAATATATGTCAATGCTTTTGCATTCTTTCAGAAATGTAGCTGGGTAATTATGTCATTGGCATCGGTGAGCCACTGTCAATATGTGACATATTGAAGTCGCGTTTGAATTTGCGCTTGTTTTTTTGCTTTCACTTTGCAATCGTGCGAACTGTGTATAGAGAGCGACAGCACTGATCTGTGAGTGATGATAATTTGTGCACCAATTCCTCTGACATCGTCTTATTAATCGTTAGCTTACTATGCAAACATGACAAGTGAAATCTCCCGCAGCTTAAACATGTGAGAGGTTGATCGCGCAGAGAATCGCTGAGCTTATGTGAGTGCGTGTGTAAAAAGCAGAATTTCAGTTCTGCTGAGCCAAATAAGACAGGTCAGGGTGAAGAAGTGACAGCCAAAGAAAAGCTTACCACAAAACGGAGAAGTTATGACAAATCAGACTATAAGGCAAAAAGAAAGTGCAGCTTTATGGTTTCATGGACAAAAGAATTTCTGTGGCTGCAATATGATGAGCTAAATAACCAGGGCTGCACATAAGTGGTCCGCAGGTGCGCATTCGCTGTCAAAATAAAAAACACGCACAAGGGTTAGGGTTAAATTTAAAAACTGTACTTTTGAGTTAAAATATATATTTATAATTTTAATAAATGACAAATTAAAAATGCATGAACATTTTTTTGTATCGAAAAAATATCGAACCGTGACACCAAAGTATCGAACCGAACCGAACCGTGAATTTTGTGTATCGTTGCACCCCTAATAAATACAAGTTATTCAGTTATGTCACTGATGTATATAAACTGTCACCCTCAGATGTAAGGAAATTGTTTAGCATGCACAGGAACAACCCAGGAAGCACCAAAGCTTAACCCTGCCATGAAACTGCTGGAAAACCAGCATCATTGTCCACAGTGAAGCAAGTTTTACATCGCCATGGACTGAGAGGGTGCTGACCAAGAACAAAGCTCCTGCTCTGAAGTCAACACCGTCAAGCTTGATTAAAATTTTCAGCATGTGGATTAGCCAAATGCTTTCTGAAGAAAAGTGTTTTGGTCAGACGAGACAAAGATTGAGTTATCTGGTCACAATGACAAGAGATATGTTTAGAAGAAGAAAGTGAGACCTAAGAACACTGTACCAACTGTAAGCATGGTGGTGGTAGCATCATGCTCTGGGACTGTTTTGCTGCCAGTAGTACTGGTACATTGCACAATTTGGATGGAGCAATGAAGGAAAAACACCTCCAATTTTAGCTCCACCTGATATCAACAGCACTGTTCCAAAAAATAGTAATGTCAAAGTATCTTACTGTATATTTTACAGTTTTGTACTGTCTTTCTAGAATATCATGAAATTTACATAAGTAGACTGTGATTTTACATGTCAAAGGTAAAATAACATAACATCACTGTAAATATAGTAAAACACAATTTACTTGTTTTTTAAATATATATTTTCTGTACATATGCATATTTAGATTGTTAAAATACATTCACAAATGTATCATGATCTCACAAATATCTGTCCATTATTTGAAAGATCGAACTGTTGAATTCAAATGTAATGCTATGGAAAAGTATATAACATGATTCCTATAAGCTTGTGTTACATCACATAAGAATTATTATCGTTGCTATTTAGGGCGATCGTGGCTGAAGAGTTGGCAGTTCGCCTTGTGATCAGAAGGTTGCCGGTTCAAGCCCTGGCTCGGACACTCTCGGTATTGTGTCCGTGGTCCAGACTCTTCACCTACTGGTGATGGCCAGAGGGGCTGATGGTGTGATATGGCAGCCTCGCCTCTGTCAGTCTGTCCCAGGGCATGTAATCCATTAGTATTTAAACCAACTGTTAACTGTATATTTCTGTACATTTATGTATTATGATTCATATTGCCACATTCATTGACCTTGTTTATAAGTAATTTCATTGTTTGATCAGGTTAAAATGTTCCTAATTTACTGTCTAAAAGCACTTGGAAAAGGCAAAATCCCATGTAAAATTAGCGCAACAAACTGTATTTTCATTACTGAAAATAACTGTATTTTCATGGGAAAGTTATTTTCTATTATTTTACGGCAGTATTTTGGCGCCTTTGGGGTCCTTAGGGACTAGTAAAGCGCTATACAAATACAGGCCATTTACCATTTACCATTAAAAGCTCAAAATTACCGTGACATTTATGCCCATGATGAGTGCATCTGCAGCTCTGACCACAACTATAATGTGAAAACTGCTTTGTATTTAGAATGTCTCTTACAGTTCTTTTAATGCCCACAGACTCCATAGTGCTTACATCAGATGTCTCTACTATAAAGCAGGAATGGGGTTTAGCAAGGTAACTTTAGACTTGGGTTTTCAAAGTTAAAGAAGAGGAAAAATAAGTCTCTAATAAGGATTTTAATTGCCTTGCAACATTTTGAGCTGTTCCTCAGACTTCAGACGCTTTAGAAGTCTTGACGCTTTACTTTGTGGATCTGTCTCTTTTTCTAATAGGCTAGATCTTTTTTTTTTTTAAATCTTTTTTTATTAAGTATCACTTCAGCATTCATAAAGCTGAATATTGGGATATATTGGTTGTCTATTCTAAATATGAACATGACAAACACAAACTAATCTATAAAGTGATATCATATGCACAATGTAGAGCAGTCTCAAAGAAAGTGGATTCTCCAGTGTAGTGGTTTACATTTTCACCTAAAATAACAAAAGCTCCCCAGTTTGATCACACAAAGAGAAACCAGTCCCTTTGGCATTGTCTCAAGAAGGGCATCTGGTGTAAAAAAATAAAAAATGCAAATCTGTCAAATCAAACATGTGGAGCTGCTTGCCATGATGACCCCTTGTGTGCATAAGGGAGCTGCCGGGAGCAGCATTCATTAGAAAATGAAAATGACCTTTTTCTTCTCACTTCCTACATCTGACTGCTCCCACCTTTACCCCAAGGGATCACATGCACCATCACTTGATTAACTGAAAGTACTTCTGTAGTCAACCACAAGCCCCTTGTGATTTCATGGTTTATTGTACGAGTCGTCCATCATAGCATGTGCTTTGAGGAGCCTTTGCATTAACAATAGCTTTATTTGTATAGCACTTTTTTAAAACACGGAGGTACAAAGTGCTTCAGAGTTTAAATGAAACCACACATTATATATAAGTGTACGTGTTCCAGTAGTCACACATATAGACTTTTATAGATACATCATATGGAAAATATTTCCAAAAATAGTAAAACAAAGGATTGAGTAGATGCTGACATAATTAGTTTTCAGCAGTCATTTAAAGCAGCGGTCCCCAACCCCCGGGCTTCGGACCGGTACCGGTCCGTGAGTCGTTTGGTACCGGGCCGCGAGAGTTGAGGCTCAGGTGAGAAATGTATGGTTTTCAGGGTTTTTATCGGTTTTCAGCGTTATTTTGTTATCGTTTTTATCGTTGACTCGGTTCTCCTGGGTCTTTTCACGTGTGTTATGAATAAATCTTCTTTTTTTCGGTACCGGTACTAGTTTTATTTTGTTGTATTTATCTGCGACACCTTAAAGGCCGGTCCGTGAAAATATTGTCGGGCATAAACCGGTCTGTGACGCAAAAAAGGTTTGGGACCGCTGATTTAAAGCAAACCAGTTCACTGAGTGCATCATTTGTCCAGTGGAGGTCCTGAAGTCTTAAAGCCTGTCTCCATTTTTCAAAGGCTGTCGAGCATGGCTTTTTAAATAAAGGTCACATAGATGCATCAGATTCCAAGAAAGATTATCTTATAGATTCACCGCTGTCAGTATTTACTGACTCATCATTATAAAAGTACCTCTTACTCTGTAATTTACAGTGTTGATTAGGTGAAAGTTAAATTAAAGAATCTTTGAGAAATTGGTGATGGGGCTAAAGAGATTTATTATCTTAAAATTATTATAAGTGTCTCTTATCCATACATCTAAGGTTGTTCCATCCATTCATTTTATTTCTGTCTGCTTATAGCACATCAAGGAGTATTTTCCAAAATCGAGGGGAAAAAAGAGCAGCTATATTTCAGACAGAAAGCACGTAGGCAGAAACAACAGCGTATTTGTGCCTACCTCTCATACATAATGCCATGTTTAGCCGCCAGAAACAGACAATGCAGAAAACAATATGTCACAATTAAATTCATTTGAAATAAATCAAGTAGTTTTCTTAACTGACACATATTTAAACTGTGCCACTTAAATTAAAGTCATCACTGGTATTATTCCATACATTTATTACATCAACAGAAAACCTCTCCCCCCCTTTCTTTTAAATTAGTTCTTATCTTGACTTAAAAAAAGGCATATTCATCCTAATTCATAATTGGTTGTTATTAACTGGGACATATCCCGGACACCTTGAGCTTTTTTACTTTAAACACAATCAGCATAATTTTGAAGTTTTACCCTTGTAGTAGTGAAGCTGTTGATCAATTTGGGGATGTTCCCCCCCCCCCAAGATGAAATAGATGGTCCTCGTTAAAGGGCACAGTCGTACTTAAAGCTCACAGATTGCAGAAATTTACTCCTACATCTGTCTTCCTGAACTGTCTGAACAAAATGTTACTGAATGACACTGGCAGTGCTTCAGTTATAGCCTAGCCACACTTTTACTTTATAAAATAGCACCAAATAACCACATGCAGCCGAAGCTTTGACCCTGACCTCTTTTAAGGTGAATAAACTTAACAAGATGACATTGTTATTCTTAGACACAGGAGAGGAAATATAACACAATTCTGGCCAACACACTACTGCAGGATTCACAGCCGGCAAAGAGTTTGCACATTTCAGGCCATGGTTCACCATTTGAGTGTATGCAGGCAAGCGTGTGACGACTGTAATTAAGCCATCACAGCCAGGTCATTAATCACACCCTTAATCCAGCCTTTCAGATGGCTTCCTGTAGGCTCACTGCCAATCCAATTAATGGAAAATTAATGATGAATTATATCTTATCCTCAGTCTGGATAACACATTTGCCTGAAGCTTTTTTTTTTTTTCCGTGATCCATGTTTATTAATATTTTGTCACACAGTGCATATAAACAGTAGGTTTATAGGTGTGTGGAGCCCAGTGACTCTTGGTCACGGCCAATTTTTACCCTAAAGTCAAACTAAAATAATCTAAAAATTATTATTCATGAATGAAATCAAAAGCTTGGAATTTATTCAAACTCTACAACATCAGTAAGAAGTTCCAGATGTGTTTGATATATTTTTGATGTTTCCTGGCACAGTGACAAATGATCTGAAGGATAGATGGACGGGTGCCTTGAATTATGCCTTTATTTAACAATGAGAATGTCAGTGTGTAGCACAGTGAAAATCCTTTCATCATTTCACGAAGATCTCTCGGTAAAGAGGCAACTATGAGATGGTACGTTAATGTTTAAAACAGTTATGGAAAAAAAATAACATGAAATTTCTCTCTAGGGTATATTTGTCTCTTTGTAAAATTAATCACACATCAGGAAAAAAGCTGTTTTCCCATATACTTCCATAGGACTGGAAGTCTTTTTGCACTGGGTAAATTGTTCCAACCTCAACAATTAAACTATGTTTTATTATGTCTAGAGGGTAAATTAGAGAAAAAACAATGTTCTCTTAACATGGCATCCTTGGGTAAACATAAATGTCAGCTTGTTAGCTCAAAGCATTGTCCCGTGACGCGTATTTTAACTGGCACTTGTCCTTTATATGAATCTTTTAAAGACTACCAATATGAGTTCAGCGCTTCCAAACCGCCTTTTTTTTATTTGTTTGTTTTTAGGTTAAAGGAGTGGTGACTATTAAAGAAACAGGCGGTCAAAGTAAATTCTCCTGAGCCTGTTTTGATGTCATGGAGATTTGATTAAGACCACATGAAAGACTTTTTCGTGGAAATGCTAATAATTCACAGAAATCTGAATCAAGCAGTTTAGTTAATCAAATGCTATGCTGGGTTTTTTTCTTCTGATCACTCAAGATGTTTGGAAACCGCTTAATCTTGATGATATAATATGTTGCAAGAGAAGTTCAGCGATGAGATAAGGGGCATGAAATACTATTTCAAATGAATTTAAACTCATAAAAAAGAAACAAGTATAAATAGCTCAGGATTTCCTAACTTCATTTAATGTAATTGTTAGCATTTTATTCTGGACTGGACCTCTGGGAAGTGGTACATCACTCCAGGGTGTCCTGTCACGCTGCTTAGCACTGATTTGTCCTAAAAGATTAATCCTTTATTATAGAGATGGGGACTTATACATACTGGGGACAACTGCTGGAAAATATACTTTCAGGATGAAGTCTGAATGGTTGAAGTACGAACAAAGGATGGTTTGTGTGTCACTTGCATGCAAACTGCGTGTCTCCTGGTTCATATCCTCTGATGATACACACAAGATGCTAATTTTGAGAAAGACGCTTAACTTTGAGACTGCCCTTTAGGTAGCAGCCTTAGGTAACTGTAACTGCCAAGTATTTAGAGGTCACAGCATTCTAAGACATTCTGCTATATCTAATGTCGTCATCCACACTTGAAGAGCTTGACAATCAGCCTTTTTCTTCTTTACTACAACACCAATAAAAACTTGGCTCCAATAAGCACATGATGAGATGGTGACAGTAAGAGAGACCGTGGATCCACACAACAAAGTAAAATTCCCAATTGTTATTTATAATGTTTACACAAGAAGTGATTTATATAACCTTAAATTAAAGCAGGGATGGAACTGAAACTAAATGGTAAAGAAAAAAGGAGATGTTCCTTAAAATAGTAGATATGAAAGCAACAGGGGTGATGAAAAATGTAACAATATTGTAACAAAATAAACTAACAAAAAAGAGAGTTAACTTATTCTGACCTAACTATGATTGAACTGAGATTAAAACAAAATCAAGAGGTTTGGGGAGGGGGTCAAAATAATACAAAAGCACCTGAGCTGCCATTAGTGCTAAATTAATATTGATACTTATGGATTGCAGTTATAGGGATTTTTTTATGATATAGTAGTGAGGACAGTGTTTAATGATTGTAATGGTTATACAAAAAACCCTTATTGAAGATTTAAGAAATCAAATCTATTTATCACGGCTGCTATGTCTTAAGTAAAACAGCACATGATATCACATCATAATAGGCCTTTTTCTCCAAGTGTTTCAAAACCACCCCCATGACTTGACATTTATTGATGTCAAGTCATACATTTTGTGTTTATTTATTCTAAATTGATCTGTAGCTCAAAATTTGGCATACACAGAGGCAATAATACTGTGGAGGCATGAAATATAACCAAAATGCAAGAGTTAACCGGTAATGTTACAAAGGAAGGCTGCTTAAATGTACAATTACCACCCCTCTCCTTACCCTGCCTCCAACCAAAAACTGAATACCTGCACAAAATGACATTTATTCAGTTTTGAGTTGCATAAAAAAAATCAGTCAATTAAACTAATCCCCTAAATTAGATTTTCAACAATTAGGTTTACATCATAGCTGCCATAAATTAACAGTATTTAATTTTTTAACAGTATTTCGAATGACCAGAATCATTCTGTAATCGTTCATTCATCAGTATGCACAAGCTGTTTATTCAAATTTATTATTTTTAATGCCAAAATATAATTAGTGTTGTTGTCCACAAATGTTCAAATTAATTGCTTTACAAATATGCTGATAAAAAACAGTAAAGCACACTTTTGGATTAAGATCACACATTACAAATATTTACTTGCACTCCTAAACAGATAAATATTGTTTTAGCTGTTGTTTCAGTTGTACAGCACACTAGTGTGCCGGCTCACGTTTGGATAGAAAAACATGAATTTAGCTTTGTGAATTCAGTCATCTTTACTTGTTTTAAAGTAAACACTACTGGCCAGTCATTAGTGGCCAGTAGTGCCACCCATTGCCAAAACTAACTCAGCCCCATGAGCTGCCCGAGGCCTTTACTAGACAGAATAGGAAAAGCCATTCTGTAATCTCTTTAAAACACTCCCTTCTTTTTCCTCCTCCCTTGTCTTTCTCTCCTCCTCGCCGAGTCTTGCTCAGACCTTCACATGCAAAATAAAGCTGTGTGGCGCTTGAACTCTTTGCTCAGCTATGCAGTAGTGAAGAGGATTAACTCAAGCCAAGCGCCAGTTTTGGCATTTCATCCATCCCTTGGCAGACGGAGAGAGACTACCAAAAGCTACCTCTTTGCCTCTCTTCATCTAAATCTCCTCTTTACTTCCTTTCTGTTCTCTTTTTCTCCTTCTGTCCTTTACCCCCTCATTTTCAATTATGACTCTGTTATCAGAAGATCAGTCTGTGAGGCCCCAACACTGCCGGATCTCTGAGCCTGGCAAACACATCAGCACTTCTCTGCACCAGGACTCAACAGACTGCAATGGTAGCAATGTGGACTACGTAGACAGTGTGGAAGACTCTGTCTTTGGAGCTGTGGAGCCTCACAGGCGCTCTCGGGGGCGCCTTATTCTCCACGGCCTGGTCATGTTTGGAAGGGAATTCTGCTATGCCGTGGAGGCAGCTTTTGTCACGCCGGTGCTCCTGAGTGTGGGCCTGCCCCAGAGTCTGTACAGCTTGGTGTGGTTGATCAGCCCCATCCTGGGCTTCCTGCTCCAGCCCATCATCGGTTCAGCCAGCGACTATTGCCGCTCGCCGTGGGGCCGGCGGAGGCCTTACATCCTGGCACTGGGCATCCTCATGCTTGTGGGAATCACCCTGTTCCTTAATGGAGATGCTGTCATCTCAGGTGAGGGATCAGTGAAGAAAACTTGAGGGTGAGGAATTCAGACAGAACAAGAGTGGAGGTAGTGTGCTATCTGTAATCTTGTTATGTCAGAAAATGCTTTGAGGCCACGCTAGCTTTGATTTAAAAGTATTCCGAAGATTTACTATCAGGCTCCACTCCTGTGGCTCCCACTTTGAATTCGGGAAACAGGCACCCTCTCTACTTTGAAGAATAGGCTTAAAGCTTTCCTTTTTGATAAAGCTATGGCTGAATCAGGTGACCCTAAGCACTCTCTTAGTTACACTGCAATAAGCTTAGGCTGCTGGGAGGGGCTTCCTGTGATGCATTTTTTCTTCATTCACCTTGTTTCACTCTCTGTGTTTATACACCACTCTGCATCTAATCATTAGCCATTATTAATCTATGGCTCTCTTCCACAATAAATGAATGTCTCTTTCCCCTCACGCCCAACCAGTCAGGGCAGATGGTTGCCCCTCACTGAGCCTGGTGTGAGCCTCCTGTTAAACGGGAGTTTTTCTTTCCCATTGTCACCAAATGCTCCTGTGATCATTGGGTTTCTTTCGAATATTGTAGATTCTTTACGTTACATACCTTATATAAAACACATTGAGGTGATTGTTGTAGGAATTGGTTTGATATAAATACATATGAACTGAACTGATTTAGGTTTTGCTGTCTTCTTTTACCTTCAGGACAAGGTTAAGGGCAAGTTTCAACCTCTTTGTAAGACTTTTAAAGACTCTGAATCCAAATTTGTACTTGTGCACAGATTTTGGGGGATAAAATGATACATTCATCATGAAAGGAAAAAGTAGGGCCCAGAGATGCTCCATTTGAATCCATTAGACCAGTGGTCCCCAACCCCCGGGCCTCGGACCGGTCCGTGAGTCGTTTGGTACCGGGCCGCGAGAGTTGAGGCTCAGGTGTGAAATGTATAGTTTTCAGGGTTTTTATCGGTTTTCAGCGTTATTTTGTTATCGCTTTTATCGTTAACTCGGTTTTCCTGGGTCTTTTCACGTGTGTTATGAATAAATTTTCTTTTTTTCGGTACCGGTGCTAGTTTTATTTTGTTGTATTTATCCGCGACATCTTAAAGGCCGGTCCATGAAAATATTGTCGGGCATAAACCGGTCCGTGGCGCAAAAAAGGTTTGGGACCGCTGCATTAGACTCCAAACAGCATCACAAGAGCGTCTGCACACGAAAGAATCTGTTACCATAAAAAGCAATATTAGGTTGGGTAAAAAGCCTTCTCTTAAAAAACAGAAACACTAACTGATTCACTGCTGGCAGTGACAGCGTGTGTGTGATTGTTCAGCATCCTGTGGAATCATTCAGAGATTAAATGCACATTTGGCCATAATTTAAGTCACTCTGATTTGAAGCACATCATCCACTTAACCCGAATCATTGTTTTTGATTGAAAAATCATGAAAGCAACACTCTGCAAAAATGTGACAAACTCAGATTCAGAGGTTTGCTTTGTGAGGAATAATGGAAATTGGTGTGTATGGGCAGTTTTATTTGCTGTAAGCTGTACATTTAAAATACAGCAATCAGCTCAACAGTAACATTCGTTAAGTGTCTTAATTGTGTGTAGTTTGAACCTTTTTCACTCTCGTGCTTCCTTTGCCTGGATATCAGCTGTCAAAACACAATTAAACTAGATGCAGTATTGTCGTGGTTAATTTCCTTTTCAATCAAACTTAGTAGCGCAGATGTTGAGAGTTTTTATACCATGCTGAACATCACATTCACAAGTCACTACTATGAGTTTGCTGGGTTTTTTACCTCTTCATTTATAATTGTGATGGTGCAAAAATAAATGTAAAAAACCCACTCTGTTCTGATATACACACACAAAGAGAATTGTTTTTCTTCAATATCATCCAAAGTGTTCAAGGTGGTTCAGTTTAGCCTGAAGCTGTTAGAGGATTTTTTTGTGCGTGTTTTCAGGCAAAAATTACAAAAATAGACAAATAAACAGCCAAGGAATTAAAGATAAAGGCTCCTGGCTTTCTTATAGCGCTCTTATGAACTATAAAGTATGTCTCCTGACGTAGGCTGGATAAGCTGATTATCTCTCCATGTTTCCCGGGGCCGTAGTAAATGCCAAAGCGGTCGTGTGACATAATGTTTTCTATTGTCGTAGCTGCCCTCTTCTTAAAGATGAAAAACCTAACGCTGGCCTGCATCTCCCAGAGTTGCTCTTTTGGTGTTAAATTGTTTTTTTACTCTTTTTTTTTTTTGCGACTTCAGACTTTCTTTTTAAAGAAGTGACAAGTTAAAAATCCTTCCTTCACCTGTAGTTTTAATGGAATGATAAACCTGTCTTTCAGTATTCACCTGCATCTCTTAATGAAATGGTAAAATTGTCTTTAATAACTTCTAATTACACTTTCTCTTGTGGTGTTATTTGACATCTTTCATATCTCTAAAAGAGCAGCTTAGTGTTCAAGCATTCAGGTTTTAAAATATAATTGCTATGGCGTCAGTTGTAATAGGTTTTCTTTTTTTAATTATTAAGTGCCTTCTGACGTGCTAGTCCTCTGAGGTTCTTGTGATGTGTATCAAGCCTAATTAAACTTGTGAATGTGACAGATAAGGCTCCTTAGTGTACTGATGTAGTCAGTGTATTATTATTTTAATCTTTCTCTGTGGTACGTGCTGAGTGCTGATGTGTACTGTTGTTTTCCAGCACTCGTCAGAGATAGGTCTCTGAAGAGCATATGGGCCATCGTGGTGGTGATGTTTGGAGTCGTGCTGTTTGACTTTGCTGCAGACTTCATCGATGGACCCATCAAGGCCTACCTGTTTGATGTATGTTCACATGAAGACAAGGAAAGAGGCTTACACTACCATGCTCTCCTCACAGGTATGTAGCACAAACACTGTTTGGTTCTTGCTTCAATACTCACAGCTTTTGTGTTTTGTTTAGACTTATTAATGCCGGTTACGTTGGTGATTGTTTCCTTTTGATGGATTTGGACTTTAGTTAGGCAATAATTTTATGTTCATTCTGCATCTGAGCAACTCACAGTAACGCTTTATGGAAGTAAGCCTTCAAAACTTCTCCTGCTGTGACTGAGTGGGCGGAGATGCACATATAGAGGGAGTGTGAAAGTTTCAGTGAACTGTGTCTGTTTGTCGGCGTGTTAAACTGTGGGTGGAAGCTATGTCTGTTTTTTTTATTTGTGAGTGCAAACAAGAGTTCACTTGGGAAATGTTCGATAATTTCAGATATATACATATATGCTTTTCTTAGTAAGTTTGTCTGTAACAATAAAAGTTAGGTCAGGCTAGGATGAAGCACGAATATAAGAGCACAACTGATAAAACAGCTGGCTGATGATATTAGCCAATATAATGGTATAGATAAATAATTTTCATTCATCAACTAATAAATGAAAATTTAAAAAAGTAAAGAAGAGATGGGTATAAATGTCCTTCAACCATGTTATGAGTTTGGGCCTTTTCCCACTAGCGGGCACTCTTTATGACACAGAAAGTAATTTTTTTTTAGGTTAATTAATAGAAAACAAGAATGTTGTACTCATAAATATTCATTGATTTGTGTGTAATTTTGTCTTTCAATAAAGTAATGCATACTCTGGAATTAATTCACTAAAAATACATGCGGTTTGCCATCATATTGCGCTGTCATCTTTAATTCCATCACTGTATGCTTCATGTATATTGCTAGAAACCAACCACATAAATAATACATCCATAAGTTCCTTTCAATTTTAAAATCCTCTTTCTTCTTACCTCACGCCTCATCTCAGGGCTGTGACAAACAGAACCATGCATGCACATGCTATTTTTTTTACTGATAATGTCATAATTGCTAGCCGTCAGCAGATTAGATTTACCCTCCCATCTCCGGACAGCTGACAGCGAGCTGGCTAAACAACAATAGCAACAGTTCGTTATAAGCTAACATTATGCCAGCTAATCTTAGGCTTGAGTGTTCTAAAAATCACCCTTTGATTAACAGTGTGATGATATTTCCACATAGTATTAGCTCTAACAAAGTTAGAGCTACTGGTTAACAGCAAAAACTGCAGCGCTTACTGCCTGGCTCTTGGCGTCAGGGCATGAACCACCACAGTGCCTCTTGGTGTTTCTGTCCTTGCTTGACTGTTTGCCTTCTAGTTTTAATTGTGGTGTATTTTGCCCTCTTTGAAGGCTGTTGGTGAGAACCATGCGCACATGACGTATCAGAAGAATACAATGTGATGGATGTCTCAAAATGCAGTTGGTGGCACATATGAATTTCAGTTTGCTCCCTGTTTTTCCTACAGGGCTGGGACACCTGTCAATACTCATATAAAGCCAAACATAAGATGTATAAATATCTACACAAATGTTTGTGTCATGTGCCTGAAGAAAAGAAATATCAGCCAATTTTTTTAATTTTTAAATCACCAAATGTTGGTCTCAAATTTTCTATATCAGTCAGGATCTACTGCCAAAAGCATTTGTTAATCTGTTTTCACATGCATATGAACTTAAGTGACATCCCATTTTTAAGATCTTGCTTTGTGTACTGGCGTACAGTCATGTTGGAAGAGGAACAAAGCTGGGAGCATGAAATTGTCCAAAATGTGTTGACATGGCGTTAGCAGTTCCTTTCACTGAAACTAAGGGGCAGAGCCCAACACCGAAATCCCTGTTCTTTTACCTAGCCTACCTCTCTGTGGCTCATTTGCTGTTGTTCCAATTCACTTGGGTGGAAAGACTGTGGAATATGTAGCAAGGAAATTTCACGACTGGACTTCACTTTGTTCCTGAGAGCAATCCATTCTTTCACAAATGTTTCTAGAAGCAGTCTGCATGCCTAACTGCTTGATCACCTGTGACCACGGTGACTGGAACACCTGCAATTCAATGATTTGGATGGGTGAATGAATACTTTTGGCAATATAATGCATCTAAAAGTAACAAAATAAAAAAACTGTAAAAGTCTCCAGCGCATCTTGCTTTATTGTTTATATTCATTTGACGATATTTCTTATGTTAAGCATAACATCTGTGTTTAGTAGAGAGGATAATGCTCTTTACAGTTTAAATGCTCTGCTCAATTTAAAAATTGCAAACACACCAATATAAACTGTTCATTACTGCTATAAGAAAAGTCTAAGCATTAACAAAGGATGGTGATTGTGTGTATTCATAAGGGATTGCTCAAATACTGTGAAAACTGTAGGGTTTTAGTGTTTTTGAGCTCAATTCTACAGTATAGTTTTACAGTTAAAAAGTCGAACACCAAACCAAAATGCAGGACAGGTGAATAAAAAATTGAGCACAACCCATCATTCAAAAGCCTGTAAAACCACTTTTAGGAGCAATAAATTGAGATGATCATTATCAGTCTCTCACATTATTATGGAGGGTTTTGGGCCCAGTCTTCTTTTTATAGTTGTTTCTGTTTATTGAGGTTTGCAGACCTTCATTTACACACATCTCTATTAAAGGTCCATTACAGCATTTTTAATCAAATTGAGGTCTGGGCTGTGCGGCTATTTTGTTGTAGATTTGATGTTGTGCTTGAAAACGTTGCAGTGTCTCATGACCAAGTTTTGATTAATCTTTCGCTGTTGGACAGATGGCTTGACATTTGACGCTGGAATACTTTGGTATACAAAGGAGTTCACTGTCGACTCAATGACTGAAAGGCCCTGTGGCTACAAAACAAGCCCAAATCATCAGCCTTCCACTACTTCTGCATGTTGCAATGTACACTATGACCAAACATCTTCACTTTGGACTGCTCTGTTCCAAAGGTCTTGTAGTTCACTCAGGTGCAACGTTGTAACCTGTGAGGTGCTCAGCGCAGGTTGTGGGATTTTTGAGTTTTGGGGCATAACCCTCTTGTCCAAGGCCAGAGCATGGAAGTGCAGAGGAGCTTTTGTGTGAGTGCTCTCGTGCCTTTCATAACTTTGCTCACTACATTAGCTTTTACCCAGCACTTCATGTTATGGCCAAATGGTTGAACTGATGAATATATTTTCCCTTTTGCTGAGCAGGTTTGCACTACAAAAAGTTCTCAGGCACATATTGGATGTAGCATGACATCAACCAGCACATCAGTTTCTCCTATCAGTTTTCATTTACGTCTGATCTTTACTTCTGATTAAATAACACGTTTAGGCACACAAAGCTGCTGCTGTGCTTTTGACAAGAATCTTTGGCAGGAGGGCGAGTTAAATGCTTTTCAGTGTGGTAAATTCATTTGCACCTCAAAGAAAAGGGGTAAAAGATTAATATTATCACTTTTTTTACGTTGCTGGAGGTATAAATTCAAATATCCTTTAAAAAGTTAGTATGTATACTAGCCTGCTTGAAGATTAAAGTTAAATATAAAGTTGAATATAGTTTGATGTGCAGACTTTAAGATCCCCCCTGCTTCCCCCAATTTCCATTTCCAACATTTCTGGAAGGCAGTGTAATTCTTTTTAATAATTTGAACTGAATATAATTTGAATATAATTTCCATGTCGATACCCATAATATTTTCACATTGGATGAGTTCACAATGAACAGATTAACCTGCAGCATACTGTAGTGCAGTAAATGTGATATCTTTGTATATTTTTGTTATTTCCGATGCACTAATGAAGCATTATAAACTTAAAGAATATTTCCCAAAGTAACTCACAAAGAAAGACAGACAGGAAGTTTCTTTATGGACATGATGATGATGTTTTCGGTGTGAGCGTAGTGGTGTGCTCAGCTCAAATGTCAGCAGGCACTGGGTGGTGTGAGCATTTGAGTGAGGCAGTAATCCAGCCGTGAGCTAGTCATGTGCTACAGTCATGGGTCTTAGCTGAGAGAGACCGGAGCCAGGCACATGACTGCCATGTCTGGTATGTGAAGTTTTAGTACTGTACTGAATACTTTACATCTGAAAGTTATGTTTTTAAACCATGTTAATCAGTATAACATGCATATTATTACTGTGCAACAGGATTTCTTAAATAAATAATTCCATCGATAGCAGGGTTGAGCTAAGACAGAGATGGTCATATGAATCCAGTTTATCAGCAACATACAAATAACTGTTTGACGAGTCATTAGTCAAGCTGAAGGCTAAGACCTCTATGTGCATGTTAAGTATTAATCTATAAAGATTAGTTTTCTAATATTTTCGGACTTTTTCTGTGCCCTGAATCACCAGAACAGCGTGCTCTCTGTGGGTGTAGACCTCCTGATTTCCAAATGGACCTCTGGGTTTTCCTCTCCTACTTAACAAAACATAGACACAGTGGAGCTGTGACTCCCTCCATCGGAGACAGGGGAGGGTTAGGCAAGGACAAATTTGCATGTTAAGATATAATTTAGTGCAAAGATATGAGTTTTAGGGTTGTAATTAATGTCAGGAGATGAACTTTATCTGTGGACTTTTGTTTGCAGCAGTGCTTTTTAAAGCTGTTTTGCTCAGATGAGGTTGTTGGTACCACCAGGGGTACTTTGGAGAATGGGAAAAGGTGTGAAACTTGTTTTTTTTTTCTTATTTATAACAATGTTAGTCCTGCATTATTCCTAAACGAATTAGGATTATTTTTTAAATGTAGCTTTGATAAACTGCATTTGATATTCAGCATTCCTGTTTTCATTGCTACGGCAATGTGTGAGTAGGAACCCTTGATTCTAATATTTAATGAAGGATTAAATGTTACAACAGTATTCAGAGTATAGTGAAAGAACGCAATTGTATGAGGCCTTTTTGTGCAATGACAAAAGAAAGCAAAGAAATAAACGAGACCAAGAAAAAGACCTAAGAAAGCATGTGATCATTGCAGAGAATGACAAAGACTTTATAAACCCTGTTTTTTAGATTATACAACCAATTCTTTGTCATAAATAAGGAGA